TGTCCTTTTATTATTGCTTGGACAAAATGCTGCACATTTCTTTGTGAAATTGAAATATAACACTATAATAATATACTAATATAGCACTTGCATATTATTGCTCTTTTGTTGGTTTTGATTGCTTCTATTGTCCTCATTTGTTAGTAGCTTTGGATACAAGTGTCTGCTAAATGACAAAATTGAAATATAATGTAAATGTAAATAACAAAACTAAATTGAAATTTTAAAACAAGCCCCAAGTCAAATAAATAAGTAACGCAAATAAAATAAATATCTTCATATAAACAAAATAAGGCTTTGTCTGTGCTGCATTTTAATCATGATCCAAACAAAGATGCTGCATACATGCAACATGAACAGTTTTTAATCAAAATTAGATTGTATAATTTCGAAATTTGAAGCAAAAACAGAATGGTTTGACTTCAGTTTTGTGAAACTATACATAAAAATATCTGCATGAAACAGAAACAGCAGACAAGCTGAACGAGGAGCAGATTCACTCTCTGCCAGCAGGTGGCGCGTAAAGCGTTTCCTGGTTTCTGCTGTAAACAAAGCAGCGCTGCACTTATAAACTTTAATATGCATTATACAGAGGCAAGAGGAAAAGAAAATAATACCATCTAAACTTTTCTAAAGAGAGTAAGTTCCCCTCAGACATGGATTCTTATAAACTCCTACCCCTAAATCAATCGCGATTTGTTTAGCATCTCAACCGATTTGAATTGTCACATATTTTAATCGATTTTCAACCGGCTCGCGGTTAATCGTTACATCCCTATATGGAGAATATATGCACATTTTCACAGATGCCTCAAAGGATCTAAAAACAGGGCATGTGGGCTCTGCATTTGTAATACCGAAGTTAAAAGTAAATAAGAGCAGTAGAATATCAGATTGTTTATCAGTGTTCATGGAGAGATGTTTGCAATAATTATGGCAATAAGGTGGATTAGTGAAGTTAAAATATCCAAGGCAGTAATATGTTCAGATTCAAGTTCATTATATTCACTTAAGCAAAATAGTATAAAAGTGCAGTTTCTGTGGGTACCGGCTCATATTGGGTTGAGAGGTAATGAAGAGGCAGATAATTTAGCAAAAAAGGCCATAGAACGAGAAATCGTTGATATTCAGAAATTAAATCAATTATCAAAATGAATATTTGGAAATTATGGCAGCAGTATTGGGACATAGATACCAAAGGTAGGCATTTGTATCAAATATAATCAACAGTGGATAAGGGAAGAGTATCAGGTTGGAGCAGAACTGAGGAGAACATGATTACAAGGTTGCGATTGGGGCATACAAGGTTGAACAGTACAATGCATTTAATAAGTAAACATCCAACAGGGCTATGTGAGGTATGTGACATTAATGAAACAGTTGAACATGTTATAATGTACTGTAGGAAATATACTGTTGAAAGAAATGAGTTGAAGGCTGAACTAGAGAATAAGGGTGAGCAGTTTATTATTAAGAATGTATTAAATCCAGGAAGAAACATTAAATTATTATTGTTACAGTATTTGGGAAGAACTGGTTTGAACAAGCAAGTATAAGTGTTTTTTTCTCTCTCTCTCTCTCTTTCAAATCCCGCTTAAGAGGGCTGAGGGTGGACGGAGGAGCTGAACACGCAGCGCCGAATTAAGTTCTATGAAGACTCTAAGCGGGTACAAGAATCAAGGGTGTTTGTATGTGAGTTGCTAGGTTAATCAGGAGATTGTAGATCGAGTGTCTATGGTCCATTTGAGAGATAGGTGGCGGTAATGCACTTATAAGTCTGCGATCCGCCGTAAAGCAACAACAAGAAGAAGAAGAAGAAGAAGAAGAAGAAAGTCAAACTCCCTTTACAAAAAAAAAGAAGGTGAAACAACCATGTTGGAGGATTTTGAAGTTGGAGGAGAAAATGAGACGAATACATTTTTCTCCCTACCCTACCTTTTTGAACCGAAGTACACAGACGGAGGGCAAGACGAGCATTTGTGGTTAAAAAGTATATCAATTATTATTATTATTTAAAATGGCAGATCATTTTTCTAGATCAGACCCTTATTTCTCGTCTGGGATCGTGTTGAGCCCTTTGAAGCTGCACTGAAACTGCAATTTGGACCTTCAGCCTGTTGAGCACCATTGAAGTCCATTATATGGAGAAAAATCCTGGAATGTTTTCCTCAAAAACCTTCATTTCTTTGCGACTGAAGACAGAAAGACAGACTTTTTATTCTGGAAGTGAACTAATCCTTTAATATTACTGAAATGTTGTCGCTTTAGGGCCCTGATCATAATAGTAATGACTGGGTCACACTGTATTCCTTACCGTATGTATTCCTTCCTTACTGTATTCCTTCTGTGTAAATGCTTAAAATTTATTTAAGAGACAATTATTGACCTAAATAGTGCATATGAATTTCTTCACAATACTAAATGTTTTTTTTATAGGTAAGTTTAAAAAAATGCTTCATAATGTATCCAGATTACACATGAACTCCTTCAAAAGCATCCCAAGATACACCATGTGAAGCTGGTTTATGAATGTCCAGACTGAGCAGAGCTGCAATCAAGTACGGCATGGTTCACTCAAAGTTCTGGACAAACATTCTTCCAATGTTAGAGTGTTAAAGTTATTGGGTCTTTAATAACGCTCTCAAAAGTTAGCACAAAATGAATACATTTGTACATCGTTCATGGAACGTTTTATTTGCCCATTCATCTAACATTTTTTAAATGTTACTACAGAAAACATTCAAAAGCAACATTCCCATAATGTTTACAAATGATACAATGGAATGTTCTCTTAAAGGGGTCATATGATGTTGCTAAAAAGAACATTATTTTGTGTGTTTGGTGTAATGAAATGTGTTTATGTGGTTTAAGGTTCAAAAAACACATTATTTTCCACATACTGTACATTATTGTTTTCCCTCTATGCTCCACCTTTCTGAAACACGTCGATTTTTACAAAGCTCATCAGTCTGAAAAGCAAGGTGTGCTGTGATTGGCCAGCTATCCAATGCGTTGTGATTGGCCGAATACCTCAAGCGTGTGACGGAAATGTTACGCCCCTTACCATATTGTGATGCCGTGTCTCGGCGCGATGAGACAAAAACATTGAAACCCATTATAAACGAGGCATTTGTTGCATCCAGTGGAGACATAATTACAGATTATAATGACTTATACTGTATTTTTACGCGTTGCATCGCGCCGTGTAAACATAAAACCATGTCCGCATTTGTGATCAGAGAAATGACAAACAACAAGTGCTACTCTACACTGCCCAAAACTTGTGTTTGAATCATCAGTGGCAAATTCTTTAAATATGAACGCACTTACAGACTGTGAGTCAGAACAGCCAGCATTGTAGTCTACTCTCCCAGGATCAGGAAACAGTCCTCCATAAAATGCGCTGGACATTTCTGAATATTTGTGTTGAACTGTTCTGGAACAGTGTTGTAAATACAACTTAACCACTGATTTCTAGTCGTGTCCTCTTTTGGAAGACCAAACAAAGTAGTTTCGCTTTCACAACGAAACACACGGTGGGCTAGAGTGAGCGGAGGCCGGGAGTGAGGAACGGCGGGCGGGCTTGAGAACGTCACGACCGGCAAATTCGACGAAGGAGCGGCCGGTGGCCTTGCGGCAACCACTTGTGACGACCCCGGGCTGGACTCCGCTTCGTCCACGGTGAAAGCCGATCCGGCGATCCACAGCGCAAAGTTGATGTATTCCCTCAGCGACCAGCATGGATCAGCTCCAGGCATGACGAAGCAGATATCGTCCTCTTTTGGAAGACCAAACAAAGTAGTTTCGCTTTCACAACGAAACACAGCGCCTTCAGGACATGGCGGCGGCGTCAACAATACTACAGCGAGAATAAAAGTTACGCCTTCTGTCTTTGCTTGAACATTTTGGCGTGTCACAGTGATGTAGACATGTGGGGGTGTGTTAGAACGAGGCGTTTTAGGTAGGCGTGGTTGACTCTTAACTTTTATAAAGAATATCTCTTTGGATTTGAGACTTTAGTCTTTGCAACTTTAAAAATTCTGACTTTCTTACTCGCAATTTCGAGTTTACATCTCACAGAGTCAAGTTTATATCTTGCATTTCTGAATTTATTTCTCAGAACTCTGAATTTACATTTCACCATTTCATTTTTTTTTTTTGTTTCCGCCATGAAATAAAAAATAAAAAAGGTAATTTAGACTTTGTATCTCACAATTCTGAGATAGGCCTATCTTTCAGTTCTCTGAAAAAGAGTCAGAATTTCAAGATATAATTTTGAGTTTATATCAACAATTCTGACTTTTTTTCTCTGAATTCTGAGTTTACATCTTGCAATTGTGTTTTTTGTTTCCGCCATGAAAAAAAGCTAATTGTCTCACAATTCTGACTTTTTTTCCCCTCACAATTCTCAAGTTTATATCTCACAATTCAGCATTTATGTCTAACAATTCTGAGAAATTGTTCAGAACTGCAAGAAAGAAAGTCGAATTGTGAGATAAGTCGCATTTACCTTTTTATTTCTTATTCCGTGGTGGAAACAAGCTTCTGTAGGTAAGTGTCACTCACACACAGACAGGCTCTCTCAGGCTGCGCAGGTACGTGCAGTGGCCGTGGATGCAGTAGTCCACGTGAGAGGTCAGGCAGGGGTCAGCGGTGGTGCTGTGTCTCCTGTGACTGAGCGTATGATTCGGCTGAACAGGAGTGATATTTTTATTCTTTCTTCTTCCTTTGTTCTTTTTGCGCCCAGCGCGCTTGTGATTCTGCTCGTCTCCTTTACTGACTTGGGTTACTGAAAGACACAAGATATATGAGAAACTTTAATGTGTGTGAGAATATTTGCTTTCTACATTTTTTATTTTCTTTAAAGTGGTTCTTTAAAGGGGTCATATGATGCTGCTAAAAAGAACATTATTTTGTGTATTTGGTGTAATGAAATGTGTTTATGCGGTTTAAGGTTAAAAAAACTCATTATTTTCCACATACTGTACATTATTGTTTCTCCTCTATGCCCCGCCTTTCTGAAACACGTTAATTTTTACAAAGCTCATCGGTCTGAAAAGCGAGGTGTGCTGTGATTGGCCAGCTATCCAGTGCGTTGTGATTGGCCGAATACCTCAAGCGTGTGACGGAAATGTTACGCCCCATATTGTGATGCCGTGTCCCGGCACGACAAGACAAAAACATCGAAACCCATTATAAACGAGGCATTTGTTGCATCCAGTGGGGACATACTTACGGATTATAATGACTTATACTGTCTTTTTACGCATTGCGTTGCATCGCGCCGCCTAAACATAAAAATCATGTCTGCATTTGTGATCGGAGAAATTACAAACTACAAGCCTACTTTACACTGCTTAAAACCCGCGTTTGAATCGTCAGTGGCAAATTCTTTAAGTATAATAAACGTACTTACAGTCTGTGAGTCAGAACAGCCGGCATTGTAGTCTACTCTACCAGGATCAGGAAACAGTCCTCC